ATTTGGAAGTGTGGAAAGGTTTTTGGACTAGGGACATACAGTACATCTGCCCAGAGGTGAGTGATCATTCACGCAAAGTGAGACACGTGGTCATATTCAGCTGCATGGGTGCCGACAGTGAGCAGGTGGGAAGCTGGATTTAACCAGGCTTGTTGTTTAGCTGAGTAACCCCAACAAGGTGAGAGGAGGCAGGGGAATTGAAGGAGTGTGCAGAACTGTGATGACAGAAATTAAGATCCGCTCACTCCTCCAATGAATGCCACCATCCTTGGAGTTGCTCAACCTAGAAATCTTGAATTCTTCTTTGGCCCCCAACAGCCAAACACCGGGTCCTAATRATATTGTCTCCTAAATATCTCATCTTTGCCTAGTTGGATGAAACCACTGTAACTCATCTTCTTCATCCACACTTACGTCACTCCCCCCACTGCAGCCAGAAGGGATCTTTTAGAAAAGGTCAGCCTGCTTATATTAGCCCTGTATTATGGTTTGGATGTAAGGTGTTCCCCAAAGGCTGAGAGACAATGCAAGAAGGTTCAGAGGAGAAATGATTGGGTTGTGAGAGTCTTAACCCAATCAGTGAATTAATGTCCTGATAGGGATTAACTGAGTGGTAACTGTAGGCTGGTAGGGTGTGGCTGGAGGAAGTGGCATTGGGGGGCGTGGCGTGGGGGTATGTATTTTGTATCTAACCAATGGAGTCTCTCTCTGCTTCCTGATCATCTTGTGAGCTGCTTCCCTCTGCCACACTCTTCCACTATGATGTTCCTCCTCACCTCAGTCCCTGAGAAATGGAGCTGGCTGTCCATGGACTGAGACCCCTGAAACTGTGAGCCCTCAAACTTTCCCTCCTCTAAAATTGTTCTTGTCAGATCTTTTAATCACAGCAGCAAAAAAGTTGACTAAAACACCTGGCTTACAACCTTCTAGTAGTGATCCCTCACTGTCCTCAAGTGAGGTCTGAATGTGACCCCCCCAAGACCTTGGTCCTGGCCAATCTCCAGCATCAGCTTGGCTTATATTTTCCTTCATCTCCCATATACCCCAGAGGTGCCCAAGATGGTTCACTGGGATGAGGGAAGGAAACTAGTACTTCCAGTTTTATTTATTTGTAATTGTATCATTTTTAGTTCAGTGATTATGCATATTTAAAGTGTATGTTAGTAGTACATGCTTACAATTTATTGATAAATATACACATATTAGGGTAGTGTTTAGAAATGTCTTACAAAAATTTTTTTTTAAAACAACTTGCGATGCTTCTGCCTCAGCCTCCTGAGTCACTGGGATTACAGGTGTGCACCACCATGCCTAGCTACATAGCACACTTTCTAGGTTCTAATATCTGTTCCTACCCCTAATCCCTTATTCTATGTACATCTTTTGCTTGGTCCAATCTAGGCTTGAAAATTTGAATTTGTTGTGGATACTTATTCATTGGAAGCTTTTGCATAAAATTTCAGATGTCCAGGTTCTCTCTAAACAATAAAAATTGGAAGATTTCACAGTACCAGGTCTATATTCCCAACAGTAACCATCATCTGGACTTGAGTAGCAGCTGTCCCTTCATATCAGGTCAGGGGCACCTCAGGACCCTCAAGTTTCCACTAACTCCCTGCTGCTTAAATGAGCCCGCTCTGCTCTTACCACCTGGCCTCTGGACTTTTTGACTTTGCAAGTGTGGTTTAAATAACGTGTTGCCCACTAGGTGGGACCTGTGTCAGTCACCTCATAAGATGTGAGAAAGGAGAGTTGACTTTTGAAATCTGTCTACTTCCTTCCCTGTTTCCTGCCACTATCRAGAGGGTCCTCAGGACTGTGATAACCATGTTGTGAACAACTACCCTGCTCCCAGGCCAGCTGCTGCTCTACATACCTCCCACACTGTAGCCAGCCCGCCCTTTTAAAAATGGCTGTCAGATCACAACACTCTCCCTTCAAACCTTAGGTTTCCATTACCATAAAGATAAAGGCAGCGTTTCCTGAAGCTGGTTGTCTGACTCTGCCTATGTTTCTTAGCATAGCAGGCTTCTCTCAGGTCCTCAAGCACAAATGCTACATCTCACCCAGGCTGTCACTCATGCCATCTCCCCAAGCTTCTCCCCTCACCACTTGATCACAGCTTTGGTGTCCTTACTTAAGGAGGCCTTTCCATTCTTTATCCATATGCCTTCCTAGCATCTATCACACGCATCATAAGGATTTTTTTTTAAAAGTCTTTCTCTCCCACTGGATGGTAAGAACAATGTGTGTCTTCCCAGTGCATGTGCTTGGTGCATAGTACCTGCTGACTGAATGTGTGTTCAAAGAGTAGATTTGGAAATCTAGTTCTTCGTGGAGTGGCAGTTTTTACCACTGAGCAACAATTTGGAATACCAGGACTTTGAAATAGGCAGTTATGCCATAAGGCACGGATATAAGGTAATTTAATGTGAAGGGAAGTGATCAAGGTGCCTCAGGAGCAGAATTTTAGGAAGCATCGACTCTCATAACACCCCTCTGCCTCACTCTTGCCCTGATCCATGGGGTGACTGGGTAGGGAGGGGGGGGCTTTGCTAAGAGCCATGAAAATCAAAGGGAGAGGGAGAGGAAGGGAAGGGAAAGAAAACACTAGGATTGTGTTAAAGGCAGGCCTGACACCCGTTGCCAACTGAACCGTGAACATCTACAACTGCACAGTTGCTCCATGAAGTGAGGAAGCAACAAGCTGTAACAAAGTCTGAGTCAACAATGGGGAAAACCAAGGAGGGCACATTCTCCAGGGAGTATATGAAATTGAAGGATGGAATTCATTATTCTAGTTCTTATAAAAACAGTTCATCCAACAGGCTATACCAGATGAGAAACTTGTGGTTCAGGGAAACAACTGAAGGGAATCTTAACCCTCAGGACTGAAAAGCAGAACAGATATGCCCAAGGAGGAAGAATGCCCCAAGGATTGACACTGGGAGATCTGTTTCCTGGGGCTGATTGCCAGCCCCAGTGACCTAAGCCCTGGGTGCTATGCTCCTTTATCATTTGCCTCCTTACTGAACAGTATTACCTCTACCAAGAAAGTGCTGGCCACATCAGACACTAGCCTCTTTCAATTCCAGAAGCGCAAATAGACCTTTTTGGGGGGTATAGGGAATCAAACCCAGGGTCTTGCTCATGCAAGGCCAGTGCTGTACTCCTGAGCCACATCCCAGGCCCTTGGATGGACCTTCTTTAATATACTGATAACACTCCTATTTTGAATTAGTAGCATCTATCTTCATTAGTAGCATCTATCACTGTGCCAAAGTTTTTTACAGCAGTCGGTTTGGAAATAGTCACAGGTACTCTGTGCTCTTGTTCCATTTACTTGCCTGATCACTTTTTTTCTTATCTAATAAAAAGTATGGTCCAGTTTGAACMAAAATATGAATGTTTTTATCATGGAAAATTCATCCTTTTTTTAACAGTARCCATTTTCATTACACAATCTATATTTATTATAGAGAAATTAGAAAATACCAATCAGCGAAAACAAATTTTAAAGAAAACCATTTATGCTTCCCCAACTAGAAAGTACCTCTTTTAAATAAATATTTTAATGAATATTCTGCTATATTTTTCTATGTAAACATATATTTGTATTTTTCCTCTCTTGTATAGGTAACCTCCTTTCATATCAATAAAAATAAACATCATAAAAAAGATCAACCATTGTGTGCTATTATAAATGTAAATGAACTACACATTAACATCTCTTTCTAGCTTCTTCTTTTGTTTGTTGGTTTGGATTATACTCAGGGTTGCTTAACCATTGAGTCCCATACCCAGCCCTTTTTATTTTATTTTATGTTTTGTATATATATATTTTTAACATTGTACCAGGGATCGAACCCAGTGCCTCATGCATGCTAGGCAAGCGCTCTACCACTGAGCCACAACCATGGCCCCTTTAGCATCTCTTTTTAAATTGTATTTTTATTGGCACATTACAATTATACATAATACTGTGACTCATTGTTACATGTTAGCATATGCACACAACATAATTTGGTCAATTTCACTATCTCTTGCTGGAAACTGTTCTATTCTCAGTATCACAGAAATCTTCTTATGCATACATCTTTGTATGTGCATCAGATTATTTCTTTGATTAATTGATAAAAGTGAAATGACTGGGTCAAAGTGTGTAACTATTTTTAAGTGTTTCAATAAAAATACCAAACTGCAACCCAGAACCATCTTACCAATTAATACCCCACCAGCCAATTTCCTCTTGCCTTTACCAACCCTCAGCAAACACGGAGCACTGCTTCTGACACATACCAGTCTCTGACAAGGTCAAATTAAATATAGTTCACACAGGGAGAAGCAGAAAGATGGGGATTCGACATTATAGGCCAGTGTCGAGTATACTAGAGCTCTGAGTACCCAGAACCCAGATATCATGGTCATCCTAGGATGAGTGTCATAGAAGACTCCCTGGAACGGGTTCATTCTGAAAGTTGCCTTTAAAAGACCATCTGAAACTAACTGAGTAAAGAGCAGAGAGGGAAGAAGTGACAGAGAGAATGATCCAGGGAGAGGACAGGCCCCAGGCATAACTCTGTAATTGTTGGAATAAAGGTTATAAGGGAAGTTGGGGGTGATGGACAGAACTGTGGACAATGAGGCTGAAGAGATATGCTGGTCCCATCAAGAAGGGCTCTCTGAGCTAAACAAGGCTGATTTTACTTTATTTATAAAAGCCAAATAAAAAAATCACAACTGAAAATTCCCCTGGGAACCAGTGGTTGTCRCTAAAACCTGTGTGGGGAAGACTCACACAGATCTAAGTGGAGCACTGATTCAACTCCAGAATTGCTTTGTTGCTTTGTCTTTCTCATCAATGAGCTCTGTGGACTTGAGAACTACCACTCAACCTCTTTGTCTAGTAAAATAAAGGAGCCCATCTTGGATTCTTCCAGTTACAAATACCTATTTCTCCTGTCATATCCTTTGGCTTTTTTTTTTTTTTTTTTTCCCAGAGAAGGTGGCCATTAAGATCCTGGACAAGACCAAGTTGGACCAGAAAACTCAAAGGCTACTCTCCCGTGAAATCTCCAGCATGGAAAAACTGCACCATCCCAACATTATCCGCCTTTATGAAGTCGTGGAGACCCTATCCAAGCTCCACTTGGTGATGGAGTATGCAGGGGGCGGGGAACTCTTTGGGAAAATCAGCACTGAAGGGAAGCTCTCTGAACCAGAAAGCAAACTCATCTTCTCCCAGATTGTGTCTGCCGTGAAGCACATGGTGAGCAGGGGCAAGGACAGAGTCTTGTCCCCATTTCCACCAGCATTGGAAACGTGGGACTTTAGTTTACCATCACTTAAGCATCCTGCAGGGCTGTGAGAGTTCTGTGAGAGTCAGAAGTCTGGCTGGGATTATGCTTCTTGTAACATCCAGGTCTGCATTTACATGACAGCCTCCTGGCTTCTCCCAGAGTTGGCAGGAGTCAATCAGCATAGCTGAATGAACACCATTCCCTCACGGGCCATTACCATTTCTTAACCTCATGTTCTACTACCAGCATAGCTGGCTCCTCACTGCTTCTTGGTCTTCAACCCTCACCCTGTCTAGGATGCCTTTTTCCCACTTCTCATGTCTCACATTCCAAATCCTATCCACACTTCACAACCAGCTCAGTTCTCTCTCTGAAACTAGCTTCATCAATCTCATGTCAATTCACACTGAACTTTCTTGCCTTCAATGAGCACCTAGTTCTTACTGCCTCTGTGTCCCAGCACATTCTCATGTCATTCTTATTTTATTCTCTGATTATTTATTTAGATAAATCTGGACTCCCCCTAGTTTAGATAAATCTGCACTCTCCCAGTTCCTCCGAGAGTTATTTCTTTGTGCTCTATTATTCACAATATTGCTGGGCACATGGGAGGAACTCGACTTGCACTCCTACTACTAAATCTGGTGGGAAAGCAGAAGGGAATCCAGCAGCGGAAGGTCAGACATGAGTCCAGAAGCCCTATACCTTGCTGTTTCTCCCAGAAATCTGGTCTCTAAAGAGTAAGGGTGAATCAAAGACATAGATAAATAAAATCAAAGATTTTATTGAGTTTGTTTATGTGCAAGGACCATACTGAACACAGTTGATATGGCATTTTATACTGTTCTCACACCAGCCTTATGAGGTGGTTATCAGTATAGCATTTTACAAAGAAGGAAATTAACATTCATATCAAGTAGCTGATACAGTTTAACCTAGAACTGATCAGACTGTCAGCCTCAAAAATCTGGATTTTTACCCCTAGAGTTATGTTGGGAAAAGTAACATTAAACCACTTCCCAAGAGCCCTCGGGATTAAACAGGTCAAGGGTTTTGAGAAGATTTTTGGCCTGGATCCAGAGTGTAAGGGTAGAAAGGGGTTCACACTCACAACCCATAGTGGGATCTGTTGCTACAAACACCAAATGCAGCCTCCTTCCTTCTACTGAATTGTGTAGAAATAAAAGAGTCTCCCCAAAGAGCATGGTCAGGAAGTTGGAGACCCCAGTCAAAAGATCTCTCCATCAGAAAAACCCAGACAAGACTAAAAAACTAAGGAGGACTCATGTTTTAGAGTGTGTAGTTTTGTAAGATCTGGGTTTTATTTCTGGGATAGATTCCCGAGTCCAAATGAGTGGAACAGACTCCAACCCCTGCTCCATGAAAGAATGGAACCTTTGGTCTATTTGGGAGGTGTGGGTGTTACATTGTTCCCGAGTCCAAATGAGTGGAACAGACTCCAACCCCTGCTCCATGAAAGAATGGAACCTTTGGTCTATTTGGGAGGTGTGGGTGTTACATTGGTCTAAAGGTTACGACAGAGTACTAACATGACTTAAGTTGATCTCCCTTGATTTTCTGTTATTACACCACCATCACCTCACTGTTTCAAATTAACAGACATCTTTTTATTTTCGTATTTTACTTTGAAACTTACTTTCCTTCTCTGCATTTCTCCTCCCACAGCATGAAAACCAAATTATTCACAGGGATCTGAAAGCAGAGAATGTATTCTATACCAGTAACACATGTGTGAAGGTGGGTGATTTTGGATTCAGCACAGTAAGTAGAAAAGGTGAAATGCTCAACACCTTCTGTGGATCTCCTCCCTATGCTGCTCCTGAGCTTTTCCGGGATGAGCACTACATCGGTGTTTACGTGGATATCTGGGCCTTGGGGGTGCTTTTGTATTTCATGGTGACAGGCACAATGCCATTTCGGGCAGAGACGGTGGCCAAACTGAAGAAGAGCATCCTCGAGGGCACCTACAGCGTGCCCTCACACGTGTCAGAGCCCTGCCACCGGCTCATCCGAGGAGTTCTTCAGCCTGTACCCTCGGAGAGGTATGGGATCAACCACATCATGAACAATGAGTGGATGCAAGGGGTTCCATGCCCCACGCCTTTGGAACCTTTCCAACTGGATCCTAAACACTTGTCAGAAACCAAAACCCTCAAAGAAGAAGAAAACGAGGTGAAAAGCACTTTAGAACATTTGGGTATCACAGAAGAGCATATTCGAAACAACCAAGGAAGAGATGCTCGAAGCGCCATCACAGGGGTCTATAGAATCATTTTRCATAGAGTGCAAAGGAAAAAGGCTTTGGAAAGTGTTCCAATAATCATACTACCAGACTCTAAAGAAAGAGACCTTAAAAAAGGGTCCCGTGTCTACAGAGGCATAAGACACACATCCAAATTTTGTTCAATTTTATAAATTACACCAGACTGCTGGGAATTAACGAAGATCATTGTTGCTGCTTTTAAATTTTTTTCACGGACAACTTGTGTGGAGACACTTTTGTAATTTTTAAATAAATTTAAATTTGAGGTATGCACTTTTTTCTCCTAAAAGTCTATTAGCCCAGATTCTGGATTGAGTTGGGGGTCTTGTCTTATTCTCAAACTCTTCATTTAATCAAGAAATATTTATTCAGTGCTCATTTTGTGCCAGGCACCATTTAAGTTGCTGATGAAATAGCAAAGAATAAGACAGACCAGCATATTCTAATATAGGACAAAGGCACTAACAACTTTGTTTTTCAAAAAGAAAAATATCAAATAGTGATAGATGCTGTGCTGAGAATTCAAACAGGGTGATCTCATAATGGAAGCTTGCTACTTTGGATTAGGTCTTTAGGAAGGCCACTCTTGAGTACGTGACAGTGTGAAAGCTGAGGAAAATCATGACTCTTGGAAAAATGCCAAAAGCATTAGGTTTTACACTAGGTTCCCCTAAAACAAACCTAACCCCAAAGGCTTCTATATAATTTATTTGAGAAGTGATCCCAGAGCACCAGAGTGAGGAACAGGTGAAAGAGGTATAGCCAATATGAAGACACATTATCAAGTTGGCCAGTGGTACACGTTCAGTCCTGCAGGATCCTCGGGTGTCTGCCCAGGGTATGAAAGGGGAAAGAGCTTATCCATTGACTCCTGTCCACCACTGTTCAGGGTGTATGGTGTCATCTGCTTTGCATTTCATACTGCTGTGTGAGTGCCAAGTGTGTTCCTTGTGGCTCCCATGCCTTGATGTTAGAGAAGCCGTGAGTTACACATCATTGGCCTGAAACAAGGGAGAGCTACATAGGACCTGCATGAGTCTGTCTATACCTGCACAGCAATGGTCACTGTCTGGTCTAGTGGCTGGAGGAAACATGGTGGGAAAAACCTGAAGTGGCTCACAGAAGTTGACACAACTCACCCCCACTCCATGTCTCACCCTGATCACCCTCTTTTACATGTTCTTCAAAGGGGTGGCATCTGGAAGGACTTAATACAGTAGGTTAGTAGGATCTGCAGCTGTGATTCTCAAGCTCTAATGCATCAGAATCATCTGAGGGCTTGTTTAACCACAGACTGTGAGACCCTGCCATCAGATTTTTGAATTCAGTACATCTGGGGGTGAGGGGAGAATTTGCATTTCTAACAAGTTCCCAGGTGATGCTGATGCTTCTTGTGGAGGGCCTTTGAGCTACAATCATTACTAAAGCTGATCCTCAGGCTGCAGTTGGACTCAATTTTCCCTCTTCAATCACCCATTCTAATTTTCCCTCACCTTTGGCCAGCATTTCAGCTAGTCTAGATTGGATAGTGTGACCCAAACCTTCATCACCAAAAGATCTGAGTCCTCAGTTGCCTTGTCCTTATCAGATTATAATTGCTGACATTGCCTGTTCACCATTATCACAAGGCCCAAAGTGACACACCAGTGAAGCTTTTGGATTCCAGACATATTTCTCTTCAGCTTCTTATGATAATCAGGGTCAATAATCCCCACCAATATATCTCCTTTCTTTGCATGCTTTTCCACTGGTGTGGGGAGCTTCAAGCAAACATGTGACAGTCATAGGTTCTAATTCACTAGAATCCTTGGTACCCGGGTGAAGAATCACCCTGGCTCCTAGAAACCAAAATCTCAAGTCAAGCCAAGGTTGTAGGAAAAGGTTATAAAGTCTTCAAGTCACTGACTGTGATGGTGAGATGGGTCAATCCTACTTCTACCTACTGTTTTCTAGACCTGTGTATTTTAAGGATGGAGGACATATATGAGCCATTGCAAATGCATGAATGCTTAGTTTTGGAGGACAGTACCACAACTTTGCAGGTTGCTGCCTAGTATATGGTGCCTTAGCTGAGTCATTCCATTGTTCAATTTACACTAGTTGCTTCCCACTGAGGTATACGGTAGACGAAGGAGTTTTGTGGTCTCGTGCCCATTGCCCCACCTCATTTATTAAAAAAAAAAGTGGTCCTGGAGGCAATATTATGTGTGATACTGTGACAACAAACTAAGTATTCTCTAGGTCTTAGCACAATTGTATTGGAGGATACACCATAGACAATAAAGACAAACCATATCCTGAATGGATGTCAATTCTAATATTCCAATGATGATGAATCAATGCGTGTCATCTGAATTTATGGCCCTATGAATTTGATAATGTCCAGATCATAGGCTCTCAGTTCTGTTTGTTTCATTCCTTGGTATCCCTTAATCAGGTGTACAGTCTCTTTGGACCCAGAACTATGCCAGGGACTTGAGCATCTCTGATACAGAAGGCATGTCCTTACTCCCAGATCCCACAGGCCTGTGTTGTAACCTTCCACTAGGGCTTGCCAGAGTATGCACAATATTCTTAACTACCATGTACATAGCCCGAGTGTCACTTCAGTTTGTGCTGAAGACTGAAACTGCTGTGATCTTTCTTTTGTGAAATGGCAGTCCTGATAAATAGGTTGGAAAAATATGTTTAACATATGTGTCTTCAAAATCCAGAGACCTACTAAATGCTTGATCTCTGTCTCAGTGCTAAGTGGTGAAAGGTGCAAGAAATCTTTTTTACCGTAGAAGGAATATCTTGATATGAACCAGATCATTAGTTCTCTAAACACTTCACCAATGTGACATGCCTCTGATTGTTCATAGTTTATCATCCATACTTTGGCACACATAAGTAACCAGTGCATCTAGAGTACTTGTCACTTCCTAATAGCCAAATCCACCTTGCATCCCATCATAATATAGTGGATGTTCTGCAGAATGTCAACATGATCAAGGCCCTTTTAGACCATATAGTGAGCAGGAAGTTTAACATCACCTTGGGGAAACAGAGTAAATGAGAATCACTGTCCATTTCAAAGTAATGTGAACTGCTTTCTGATAGAATATGAGAATGCTTTTGCCAAATCAATAGCTGCCTGTCAAATGCCAGTAAAGATGCATCTGGCATGGTAGCTATGACAGAGATTAACATAGTGCACCCTCATCCTCCATTATCCATCTGCTTGTTTTCAGGAATCTGATTGTAAGTAAAATGAAATTATGATGGAGCCCATTACTGCTGCATCTCTTAACATTTTTGGTGGTGACACAGATGGCTGCATTTTCTAATGCTCATAATTTATTAACATGGCCAGGAAGAAGTTTCCACGTGACTCTTCGTCCCATAAAGCCCTTACTCCATACATCAAAATATATACTTGGAATTTAGCGAAATAATCCTAAAGTGAGACTTACTCTGAGAGAATATGTCCAGAACTCTCCCTTTATAACCTGGTTTCCATAAGCCCTCATCTGCATATAAAGCCACAGTAGTACTCAACAGGCTTTGAGAAATCCTAAGTGGGTATACATCATATATACTGGTGGAAGTGAGGCTTTTTCTGTAGACCAGTCCTCCCCTTCATTGTGCCCTAGATCTGTAAGTTGATTTAGATCACGAAGCTGGATAAGGGACTGCCGCAAACTGCCCGGCCCCGGGCCGGCTGAGTCCCGCTCCTGCTGCCGAGCACTGCCTGCGGCACGCCTGCTGAGCGATTCCCTGCTGAGCTGTCAGTGCACGCGGGCTTGCAACCCGGTTGGGCACAAAAACACAAGCCAGTCAAACTGAGACAAAGTTTTATTTAGAGAGAGGCCATGTGCGTCCCCTAACAGGTGGGTCCGCCACGTGTGTGTTCTACCTGAGCGGGGGGGGGGGGGCTTCCACTTCCCCCGGAACACCCTCCTACCATCCTATTCCAGCCAATGGGAACTCTCCCATTACAAGAGTGACATGAGTAACCTGAGTCCTGAAATGGGCCCAGCTARACAGCATGAGTCCAATTACCATATGAATGTGAATTGCTGGCTGGCAGTCATAAAATCCAAAGGTGCCTATATCAATATTTTTGCTGTGGCTCCTAACAAGGGACCATGATTTTCTTTGACAGACTACCTCAGCCATCTGCTCATCAGCTTTTCTTCCCTCCCTGTGGTTTTTGGTTACATAAGTAACACTTTAATCAGCTGGCCCTCAGAATTCCTTGACTGTTAGCCATTGGCACAAAGTCCTGGAGATCAAGGCATCTTAATTTCCACTCATCTTACTATCCATTTTATTATGTTTACTTCTTCTCTGCCAAAATTCTAGAATCCCTTGTCTCCACTGCAATAGCATGTTTGGTTTCACAGCAGCATTTCCTACTAACAACCCCTGTCAGCAGGGGCCAGCCAGATCTGAGCTCTTCAGAGCTGCTAGGGCACCCCTAACCTGTGCATTCTGCATTACCTCAGTGAAGGCAATGTCTTCCTAGGGAACACAGGTGGCTGCTTGGTCTCACATAAAAAATCCATCCTTAATATTCCCACCTCCTGAAACTCCCCAACCTTTATTTACCTCAGTACTATGTCAAAGTAGTTCAACCATCTCCATCTCATTTACTGTTTGCCACAATCACATGCGAGCCTTAGTAGCCACCCAGCAATATAACAGGACCAACTTCAGGTGTTCTCCATTCTTAAGTGGTCAGCCAAATTCCCATAACATTTTTTTGGAAGGGTGGGTGTGTTTGCTAGGGATTGAGCCCAGGCACACTCTACCACTGTGCTACATCCCCACCTCTTTTTAAGATAAGATGTATACTAAGATGCTTAGGGCCTCACTAAATTGTTGAGGCTGGCCTCAAGCTTTGCAGTCCTCCTGCTTCAGCCTTTGAGTTGCTGGGATTATAGGTATTTGCTTCCACACCTGGCCCATTACCTGTATCTTGTCTTACATTCTTCCATTTCCAGCTCTTACCCATCAACCTCAAGGTCAACTCACATTTCCCCTGGATTCCAGGTTGTGCAATTCCCTCAATGTCTACACTATTTCCACCTAGAGAGTAGGTTGTATTTTTCCATTAAGGCTGGGCTGAGACCCCACTTTGCTTTTGGTGTAGAGAATAACAAAAGCATTGAAAGAGGATCTGGTGGAGGCCAATCTCAGAGGCAGCTGCCTCACTAGAAGGCTTGATGGGTCTTTGGGCAAGAATGAGCTGCTTCTGCAAGACCCAGAATCATCTATCTCAAGGTCTTAAACCTTAATCACACCTTGCCATGTAAGAGAACATGAAAGAAAACAGCCTGAGGCTAATCCTTGCATGAAGATTATATCAAAAAGTCATTTATTTGGGAAATGATCCCAGAATGCAGGAAAGCATGAGAGTAAAACCAAAGAGGAAAGACAACATAAGAATATTCATTCCAAAATTGGCCATAGGCAACTGGTAGTTGATTCTGTAGGATCTTCTGAGGAGCTTTATGAAATGTGTTTCAGAATCATCTACCCACGGAACAAGAGGAGGAATCATCCATTGTTGGTCAAGTGTATCCCATGGGCAACTAACTCCCTTGTACTTCTGTGTTATAAAATTAGGCATTTGACATCAGTGAAGCCAAAGCAAAAGGCATGTAGCAGAATCCAAAGGGAAGTGCTAGCTATCACATTCTGAGAACCTGGTCAAAAACTTCATAGAAGTAGTGGCCACAGTAGCAGCTGGAATAGAAGGCAGGGCAGAGGGATCTGAAGTGAGATCCAAGATTTCTGATGCATATATAGATCAAAGGCACTAAGCTGGAAGAGATTTTTACATGGTTGAGGAATGTAAGAAAAGGCAGAATGAATGAAAACATTAATCCTTGGTCATGTGGTGCTGAATTGAAGAAGGGTGGGACCAGCTCCCACAGGAGCCTGCAAGTCTGAAATAAGGAATTGGATACATAAGGTGAAAAGTGCTCACTACTGAATAAGTAGCTCAGGAAATGCACTCTTTTCATTGTTATAATCTAGAACCTTGTTTTTTAAAAAAATCATATGGTTCTTAAAAAAAAGTCATATGATCCTCTACATCAAATCACTGCCTTTATAGAAATAGTTTTTTGGGGAAAATTGACAGGTAAGCTTTTTCACCTACTACCAATCAGGAAAAATATTAAGAGCCCATAACTTAAGAGCAGTTCCTGGAAATTTTGAAGAAAGGGTGTGTCAAAAGTTCATATTTTAAATGAAAGATCTTAATACATTCTTGGCTCTATTGACTTTCACTTTAATGTTTTTTTCAGGAGATTTCAAATAGCAGTCATGAGATGAAGTGTTGCAACTAAGTCACAAGAGGATCAAATATGACTGTTCTGACATCTGTGTCAATCTCAAAAGTACTGTGTTCAGGCTCAGTGGTAGAGCACTTGCCTAGCCCAGGTGAGGCCCTGGGTTTGATTCTCAGTACTGTATATAAATAAATAAAATAAAGGTCCATTGTCAGCTAAAAACCAAAATAAACAAAAAAGTACTATGTTCATAAAATTAAAAACCTAGAAGTCAAAGTGCATAAATAAGAAAGCACAAATCCCATAAAGAAGACAGAGAAGGATAGAATTCTTAAAGCCCTATTAGATACTAGAATTTACAGGTGGCCAGAGAGCACTGGCCTCTAGTTGACCCAGAGGAATAGGACCCTAGCCCAGACTTTTAAGGAAAACATGGTAACATACTGCATTAACGTTTTTATAGCAAAATTTCATACATTCTTACCACCCAATTTGGTAATTAAGAATAAATTACTATAGAAATTCCTTTATATTAGACAAGACATCTGGTACAGCTTTTTATTTCTGGCATAAGTAAGGAGCCCTGCCTATGTTAGGTTTCAAATGTTTGTGGAATGAATGAGTGAATGAATGAGCTGAAATGAATGCTCACATTTAATAGCATATTCTGGGCTGGAGTTGTGGCACAGTGATAGAGCACTTGCCTAGCATGTGTAAGGCACTGRGTTTGATTCTCAGCAATGTATATAAATTTTAAAAAGTCCAAAAACAGCATGCTCTGCAGATGTCTTGTCTACATTGTTAGTTGAGAAGGGGAAAAGAATACTCAAATATCTAAAATGTTTGTCTAAAACTTTATTTCAAAGTTATTCACCTTACCATCAATAAGGTTTATGGTTAATGCTCTGTGCCAGTATTACCAGGCTTGCCCATTGCCGGCAATGGACTTTGAGAAAACCCATTTCTTGGCAATCAAACATTACTCTTTTCGACATACCGAACTCCCAAAACTTGGAAAAGTATTACATGCACCATTTTCCCACCATTCTTTTAAATCTGGGCTTACATTATTAATCTACATCAGTGGATGTTAAAATGAAGTCATTTTAACAAATTATGACTGTACAAATCAAAATACCACTAGTTAATATTAGACAAGAGTATCTTACAAACACTACATTACATATTAGCTTGCAATCTGAAACATTACATTTTGTATTTGTTTATTTTCGATAACTGAAACTTCACAGAATTTAATGGTAAATAAAGTTTTAAAAATTTAGTTCTGTACATTAGTTCCAACTATCTCTATTTTACAATCTATAAGGCTCATGTCATAGTTCAGCACCAAAAACATCTATAAAACTTTCTAACCAATCTCTTTCATTCCATGTGATAGTTTTGTTGTTTTTTAAAGGTGAATGTCCAAGAAAAAGCTTTATAAACCCTACTTCCAGACCTTGAAGTGGAATACTCTTTTTGGCTAGTCAGACTATGTAAAAACTTAGGTTGTACCTTCTTATTTTCATCAAACAGATACAAAAACAAAGACCCACACAAACACACACAAAAAATAAAAAGAACTCATACCACAAATCTGTCAGTCTAGAAATTGAATTTATAACACTGAAACATAAGTAGCCTAATAATGCCCTGCTCCATCCTTCCTTTCCAGTTTAAAATTTTAAAAAGGCATCAAAGAAATGTTTTATGTATCTTTTAAAATAAGGTGCAAAGAAGGATTGCAACAAAAAGCTTCCTCATACACACCTCCAATAACATCTCGATGTTGCTGAGCATAGTCCACCATGAACTGATCAGGAGCACTCAGCTCCTGCAGCTATTGTAACAGCTCCCAAACAGACCATGCTTTTTATGCCAGAAGCCTGCTCAATGCTAGTGTCTCTCTGTTCAGAGATCATCACAATAACTTTGTCACTGTTGGTCTGGATAATATTCCAGAACCAGTGTTACTGTCCTAACTCTTTTYTGCCTCTCTAGGATTTATAAATCTGAGAAAAAGAATGTTTGTCTTGCCATTTTCAAAGGGTATTTGTGCATATCACATTTTAAGACCACATTCCCCAAGCTAGAAAAAATTTTCAAAAACCACAGGTACTTTCAATAATCTTGTTGTTCAAAGTATAAAATTCTTACACATTAAAAAAAAATTAAATTGGAGACTAGTACCTCTGCTTTCCTCTTACAAAAGCACAGGATTCATACTACATTTAAAAACTAAATTTCATGCATATAAATGGCCAGAGAGGTATAAAGTTTACAGAGCCCTTAACATCATTCGAGTACATTTAGCAYTGGCTACACCACAACAGGAAGCATGTTAGCAAATTGGGCAGATAGACTTGTCCAAGAGCACAACAGTTTGCTAGGCTCTGTGTCAGTCACATAAAAATTTAAGCAATGTGTAATTCTTTAAAATTGTCCTCAGTCATTCCCTTCCTCCAACCATTCCCCTATCCCCACCCCAACCCAAACACACTGTGAAGTCTCGCAGTTCATGGAGTATCTTAATGTTCCCCATTACTAATGACAGCTACTTCGGGTTCTGCTGCTGATGCAGGGAGCCTTGGCACTTTCTTAGCAGGGCTTGGAATATGCTAAAATGAAAATAAAATAGTTGTTAGCTATTACACTTTTTCCCCCAAGGATCATGGCACTAAAGTTCCCATAGAGAAACTATTAAAGGATAACTCTGGAGATAGTCATGCTAACTATATAGCTTTCCCTGGAGGGAACTATTTTCTTTCACCTTAAGGTAAACTGATTTTAAAATAATCTATAAAGCAAGAGAAGGAGATCATACAGTATTTTACTTGTTACATTTTATACAGCAACACTAGTGGCTTGACTTGCTACCTAACGGGTATAAAAACTAGAAGACTATGCATTTACCAAAGTTATAATAAGCAGAAAAAAATCATAATCATTCAAGATTATAATATATAATAAAGTCCTTGGTCTGAAACCTGGCTTCAGCACTTACTAGCTATGATACTGAGCAAGTAATTCAACTTTTTGAAGCCTTATTCCAAAATGGGCATAGTATATTGCTAAAGGTAACTGTTATAAGGATTAAATAAGAAAATGTAAGTAAAGGGCCTATCATATAATAGGAATTCAAATCATAGCTATTATTGTTACTTCTTTTTTTTTAATATTTATTTGTTTTTAGTTTTTTTTTTGGCAGGCACAACATCTTTCTTTGTATGTGGTGCTGAGGATCGAACTCGGGCCGCATGCATGCCAGGCGAGCGCGCTACCGCTTGAGCCACATCCCCAGCCCTTATTGTTACTTCTTGACAATGGTCTGAGATGAGATGTGAGCAGCTCAATACTATCCCAACTTTCTCTATCTCTCAAGATACGCCACAAATAAGCTTCTCTCTAGATCAGTCTTCCTTTAACTTCTGGCATTGTTAATAAAATCTTGTACTTAGCATGTACTTTATAAACTTGGAAACAGCAGTTGGAATCTTCTCCCAGAGCTCTTGCTCTGAATTACTGTTTACTAACATTCCTTTAAATTGCTAAACTTCAGTTAGGGGCCCCAAACCCTGATATATGTGTGAACTTCTTTCTTTCTTTGGTGGTGTTGGGGATTGAACCCAGGGCCTTATGCATGCAAGGCTAGCACTCTACCAACTGAGCTAAATCCCCAGCCCATGAACTTATTATCCTGTCAAAGAATAGGACCAACACAATGAGCTTTATTTACCTCAGTTGCTGTATTTGAATGCACAAGTCCTACTCCTTCACCCAAAGTGTCATCATTTGGAGAGGGGCGACGAGCGTACGTTCTTCTATACTTTTCATCCACTCTAACTAGGTACCATGTTCCTTCAAAGAGTGAATCTATTGAACACTGGGGTATATAGTTGGCTAAAGAGAAGGCGGAGGAGATTAACAATCAGTTATGATATACAACTCATCTGGTAATAAAACTGAAGAATTTTCCTATTTCCTTATAATTTTCACAGACATCTGTCTTGATAGCCTTATCTTATATRTTGTATACTTCATGTTACTCTTCAAGAAGTTTTTATTTAAATGAAATTTAATATTTTACCCAAGTGATGAGTGTCCTCTCTGAGCTTCATGTTTTCAGCAAAGACATCTGGTGCTACACAAGTTCTTGAGTCAAGCCTTGATTTAAGATCACATAAACTTGCTGTTATTTTATCAAGAGCAGACCCTAAAATAGCAAATAATTTCAACATTAGAAGACTAAAAATAGCATATCTCGAAGGTTGAATAAAATATTGTCAAATAAAAATAACTTTTCTTCCAACATTACTGGCAATTATTTAAAAACAAGATATTATCTTTTGACTAGACATTTATTTAGTATCAGCTAGTAGACAAGTTAGGAAATAGGTAGGATATGAAACTACAAATAACTTTTCTATAGTTAATCCATGGTATAATTTCAAATAATGTCAAGTCTTTATCACCTCTTGTGCAATGTTTTTACTTCTTCCTATTCAGGTAAGGCACAAAAATTTCCTTAAATATAGCCAAGACCATAAATCTATAAAAATTAGTCTAATCCTTAGCTAAGTGTGGTGGTGCATGACAATAATCTCAGCTACTCAGGAGACTAAGACAAAAGGATCACAAGTTTGAGGCCATCCTCAGCAATTTAGTGAGACCCTGTCTCAAAATAAAGAACWAAAAGGGCTAGGGATATAGTTTAATGGTAGAGTGCACCTAGATTTAATCCCCAGTACTGATGGAAAGAAAAAAAATTKACCCTTTATCCAATTAAGGCAAATTTATTAGGGTAGACGGTAAGAATCTGGCTATGTTAAAAGTAATGAAAATTAAAGTTAATGAACTATGGGATTCAAGTAGTCATCTGAGAAGACTGCTAAAACAATCTCACTGAATCAAATTCCCAATACATTCTTGTTCAAAGAATCAGCACTTGCCTGGTGTGGCATCTTGTGTAACTTTAAGAGAGTACAAAGTGGCAGCCAAACCAGAACCATAAGAGAACACTCCTATCCTCTTCCCTGCCAATTGCTGAGGAGAGTACTGGGCTAGAACAGAAGCAAGGGAACCATATACTGAGGATGTATACATATTTCCATTTTGATTTGATACCAGCAAAGATGCCTTTGTTTTCTGATTAAAGAGTTCAGAACTAGCCTTCATAAATGCCTTTTCCACATCTCTGTCAAAGTAGGTATCTTCTAATTTAACATCCCTGAAAGATTTTAAATAAATAAAAAAAATACAATTTTACAGTGTTCAAAGATTATGTTTTCATTATGTTACACACTATGTTACACACTGGGCCTAATTAATATCTACATCTTTTAGTGTACATGATTCTATTTTTTCATTAAGAATCAAAGACAGGGCTGGGGTTGTGGCTCAGTGGTAGAGTGCTTGTCTCACACATGTGAGGCACTGGGTTCAATCTTCAGCACCACATTAAAAAATAAGTGAATAAATAAACAAAATAAAGTTATTTAAAAAMAATCCTTTAAAAAAAAGAAAGAGAATTATGCTAACTGCTATGGAAGATATAACAGTTGTACACACATGGTTCTTTGAGGTTTTATTTTTACCAAGACAATTTGATACTAACATGTTAATGGACTAAAACATTATTGTCACCAAACACAATACTGTCTCAAGTTCATAGTCATGTCTGTTTAGTTAGAAAAGTCATAGGAACTAAGTCTTGAAAGTCAAGTAGAATTTTACTAGATGAAGAAGGGACATAGGTGCACAGAAACAGAATGAATTAACATACATAGTAAGCATGAACCTAAAAAGTGAGAGGGAATACGAAATGAGACTCAGTAGTGGCAGTGAATAAGATAGATATAAGCACAGTGACTAAAAAGAGGCAAGAAGAGCTCACTGGCTATGGTAGTGAATATAGGCACTTCTGTAGTGATATTATCATGGTGAAAATGAGAATAAAGCTAAAGATGAAATCACAAAGTCTTACGTAGAACTGATTAAAGAATTTGCATAGGTAAGCCACCACCTCGCTGGGACTCAGTTTCTTCATTGGTTAGACAGATTATACTAGAGGACTTTTAACATTCTTTTGACTCTAAAATTTTCAGGTCTGTACAAATTTAAAAAACCCTCTTAATATAGAAGGAAAAGAATCGTAATGGGTCCTTTTACCCGAAAGCTTCCAGGCCACTGTAGATAGTATTTTTATCTCTGTTCTGGTCATTAAGGAAGTCATTCAGCATCATCCGAGCTAGAGATTTCTGAACCAGTTTACAATATGGTGAGTGAAAGATCATGAAGCCAAAATCATTTAAGGTAAAATCTTTATCATTTCCCTCTGCAAGAGAAATCCAAAGAAGCTATGAAATTCACATAAGTCATGATATTTTACAGCTTGTCTTTAGAACAATGTTAGGATGTTTTTATACCTTTAAATAGTAATCAAACTATCCCCCCCCAATAATGAAATCTTTCTATAGTTTAAAAGATCTGTCAAAAAAGACATCCATATGAATCTAACTACTAACTATAAAGATCTAATATTAAAAAAGAAAGACACAGAGAGCACCCCTCCAACCCCCACTATGTAGACAGGCTGCCATCTGGGCCCACTGTGCTCTTCCATAATGTATTATCAAGCTTCAATAAACTTTTGCTTTGCTTGCCCCACTCCCAAAAGAAATCCAGAGATGGAAAGTATATACATCACTCATTTTCAAATCTAAGAGTCATACTAGTAGGTTATGTAATCAATTTAGTTGGTCAGGACTAATTATTATTTTTAAAAATAGAGTAGAAAAATAGCAAACTGCATAACTTACAGCATGGATAAGTAATTTCATGATACTTTTTGTTTCATACAATGTTTCACATTCACAAAGTTAAGTTTCCTTTTTACCCTAAGTCCCAATAAGAAAGTTAGACTATTGCTGTCCTGTTAAATACAYACTAAATGGTATGTCTTTTTAAATACACACCGTTAAACAGTGCAGTATAAATAGCCCTGTATTGTTAAATAGTATGACATTTTAACATACTGCTAGAATGCTTCTTATTTAGAGCCACTATATTCCCTAATATCTATTATGAAATATGATCTTTAATCCTCTTTTAAAACTTCTAAAAGTAGAACYATGGAAAAAGCACACTTTCTACAACACTGTGTTATAATGGTAATAATTCAAACCCCTACTTTTTTTAGTACCTTTAAAACTTTTTCAGGGTTAAAAACTGAGATTAACAATGACCCTAAAATAGCAAATATAATTCACAGGTCATGGTGCCAACAGATTTTGGTGGGAAGGGATCACTTCAGTAATTTATTTTCACTGGTTTTCTCTGAATAATAGTTAACACCTTGTTAAAGTACCTCTCTCAAAAGACAAAATTCAAAATACTTTTTTAAAAAGGGTAAATCAACCTAAGTATTTCTGCAGAGACATACCTCATTTTCAAAGCTGATCTTTTTACCTATATTATACATTCCCAAAAACTATGGGGAAATGCTATTTTGGTAGATAAGAGTAAATAGAGTAATAGGGTACTACAGAAGGATAGTCACAAAGCAGTTTCTCACAAAAGATACACTTCTCTCAACAGATAGCAAAACCTAGGAAAATCATTAAAGGTAAAACCCACCTTTCTGCCACTGGGCATGGATCTTTTTGCGGTAGACAGAATAGCAGCGGTCTAATGCACTGAGGTAGCATTGTATGGAGAGTTTTCCATTGACT